AACGCGATCAATGATCCGGGAGAGAGCTTCGGGAGCATGAACCTGGACGAGTTTCTGAAGACTTTATGGACTGTCGAGGAACAGGCAGCGAGCTTTGGGAGCATGAACCTGGGCAGTTGGTTATGGGTGTGTGTGTGTGTGTTGAAGTTTAGTAAATGCATAGCGTAGGTGTCCGTAGGTACTGCTCGTGCCCTCCCCCCCCCCTGCTGCCAATACCGTGTGCAGCGAGCAAGACACACGGCCTGCCGTCTGCGCCACGTGGCTCAACCATGCCACGTGGCTCCACCATGCTCGGTGGCACTGCCCTACAGTTGGTTCCGTTCTTGACACGCTGCGGCATTTCTGCGCACGCGGCACGTTCTCCTTTATTGTGCGGCATTTCTGCGCACGTGGCACGTTCTCCTTCTTGGAGGGCTAGCTTGAGAAGTCGGCAGGTGGCTCAGCTATGCCACGTGGCACGTTGTCCTTCTTTGTGCGGAAGTTTGGCGGGTGAGGGGTTTGAGAACGTGCCACTTGGCGTTCCCCTGCTATGTGTGGGAGTTGGGCGAGGAAAAAAGTAAAAAATTTGGCGGGTGAGTGGTTTCAGAGGTGCCACGTGGCGTTCCCCTTCTTTGCGCAGGAGTTTGGCGGGGAAAAAAGAAATGAGAACGTGCCACGTGGCACGCTGGGGCATTGACGCCCGTCAGCACAACGAAGGCGTAGGAATGCGGCGCGACTTCGAGTGCGGTCGATCCATCCACCGTCCTCGGAGTCAACGGCGGGAGCTCATCATCACCAAAGGACAGTTTGAGAGGAGAGCCATTCAGGAGGACTAACTTGCTTCCTAACCAGTTGTTAGGAGCTGTGAGGTGATACTCCTCCCTCCTCCCCCTCATCATCGTCCTCCTCCTTCTCATCAGCATCGTCCTGCTCCTCCTCATCATTGTCCTCCCCCTCCTCCTCCTCCTCCTCATCCCATCCCTGCTCCCAATATGGGTTATAGGGATGTCGCTATCACCGCTGTCATACACGTTCTTGGTGATATCATGTAGGTCAATCACGGGCATAATCGGATTAGAGGATAAGGATGATGATAATGATGATGATGATAATGAAGGCAAGGATGACATTCTTTCCCTGCTGTCGATCGGAAGTGGACCAGGTTCATCTGTATCTGAACTTCGCCGTTGCCG